TTCTTTTTACTTCCTGTGCGTTTCCGATTGACCAATAGGAAACGCACAGGAAGTAAAAAGAAATTTGAATTCGTATGAATTGATCAACTTGAGGAAATGAATTCATGCAATATTTTATCAACACTTCCATTGCATCGACAGTAAACGATTATTGGATGAGCTTTTTGTGATAAAAAGAAATATCAAGGCAGGGTACGATAATTCAAGATGTTTATTCGTACCTGACTGGTACGCCAATGGCTGTTGCCGCGTATACTTGCGCTGATACAAACATAGTTCTCAATGAGTACCAATAGTCATTAAAAATAAGGTTCATGAAGTACAGGTTTCTGAAAAATATGTTCAGACTACGGGGTAGAAAAAGAAGCACGATGCATATACAAACAATCGACTCCAACGTTTCTTAGTGCCATCAGTCCAATCGTATTTTATGCCAAGACATGTCAGACACATGATATACCAACTAAATTACGGTATTGAATACCTTGGGCTTGGAAAGGCATGGTACCAGCAAAAAGTAAGTGCGCAGATAGCAAGAGTTTCGCGTACCTACGTGGTCCGTGGCTTAAAATAAAGAAGTACCAGACCGTAATACTGGCGCACCTCAGGTAGATAAGTACGGGAATTATCGCACTCTGGTCAAGGTCGAGGTAAGTGCTATACTGAAACTGATAACACGTACGGAAACTTTTTTAAAAGTTTAGTGTTTCGTTGCTCGCTGTAAAATTGCACGCCGTAGGCTCAAATTACAGTTAAGCGTTTTCATAATTACCTCAAAAAATTTATATGAACAATCCTAATGTACATGTGAAAGCTGTGTTCGGCAATCGACAACGTAACTTTTGAAGACAGTAAGACAAATGATTTATTAAAAATAACAATACATAACGCGGTAACTCCGAAAATGAACATTTTAAATATTCTAGCTTTCGTTAAAAATGATCAGTTTCGGAGTTACCGTTGTTTTGTATTTTGTAAAAGTACTTTTGTAAAAGAAATTTTTACAAATCATTATTGAATGTACGGGTTCCGCGTCAGAAGCTAGTGGATTTTACCTCTTTCATTAATTTCACTGCTTCTTTAACACGACCTAATTTTCTTGCACACATCGCTAGACGTCTTTTGATATAAGCACAAGTATTTGTATCGCGACCTAAAACAAATATACGTAATAAAACCATCAGGAAGAAAGTTGTAGTTATATAATTTGGGTACAGGACCCTCATTAGGGGGGGGGGGGGG